TAATATTATTATTATATGGGTTTTATTATCTTTTAGTTTATGTCAAACACATATTTAAAACTGAAAATAATAGTGACAATGCATTTATTCAATAAAATCGGTAAATAAAATGTATCATTACAATCATCATATGATTGGTTTTTAAGCATACTCTATCTAACTTAAACAAGATCTTCTATCAAATAATACAGCAAACCATACCGATGCCTGATTGAAAGCTTAAGTTCTAACAATGGAAACGCCACACAACTTTCAGTAAAAATCAACTCTATTATATACATTATTTTGAAAACCGGACCAGACCGGCCAGTTCAATCGGGAACCGTTGCCTAGTCCAGTTCAAACTAAACCGGTTGAACCGCTATTAGTGAACCGACCGGAACCGTTGAACCGTTCGAACCGGACCGGCTGAAAACCGGAAAAAACCAGCAATTTTGTTTTTTTTTTAAAAAATTAAACCAAACGACGTCGTTTGTTAAATGAGCCAAGTCGAACTCGAATATTGCTAAGCTCGACTCAAACTTTAAAAGTAAGCTCAACTCGACTCAAACTCACGATCTAAAAATTATCAAGTTCAACTCGAACTCGAAATATAATATTGAAACTTGAACTCGAAAAGGCTTGAACTCAAAAAAAAAATTAGAAGCTCGATTGAAGCCTAAAATTCGAGCTTGATTGAAGTGAAAGAATAGTTCACTCTATGCTCACCAAAAGGCTCCATGATTTTAAATGTCAAATTACCTCTATTATTTATAGAAGTTAGTTGGGATGCTCTTCTATGTTTCTTAGCCATGTGGATTGTTTTGTTCTCATATTTTTACTCTTTAGACTTTTGGGATGTTCTTCTATGTTTCTTAGCCATGTGAGATTGTTTTTTTTTTAAATTAAACCAAACAATATCATTTTGTTATTTTTTTTAATTATAGTTATATAATTATATTTATTATTTAATATGATTTATCTTAAATATTATGTTGTAGTTAATTTGAATCATTTTGTTTCACTTGATTTTATGGTTTTTAACTCATATATATTATGACTTGCTTTGAATATGACTTGTGATATACAAAATTATTTTTTATTAAATATTTTTGGTATTTTTATTTAATTTTTTAAATAAATATGACGTCGTCCGATTCTTTCAATCGGTCAGACCGATTCGACCGGTTAAACCAATGAACTGATAGCATGACCGGTTCGTTAATCGGTCCGGTTCGCTAACCGGTCCGATTCTGAAAACCATGTTTATATAACGTTGCTGAAAAGAAATAGCATGTTCCAAAGGTGAGTGGACTGTTAATTGTTTCTGTGATAAGACATCTTACGATTAACAGAATTCCATCATTCTTGTTGGACATCTCCCAATTGTAGGCAGGAAGTTTCCATGAATGAGAGAAAAACTGACACTGTTATTTCATTAAACATACCTGTAGGTGTTACTACTTGCTTTTCAGTGAACGGAAAATGTCCAAAGACCATGCTCCGCCACCTAAATCAAATTCAAAACAATTATATTCTTGTTTTAAAAACGCTTACAGAAACAAAACACAGTATACGTAATATAAAAGCGGAATGTACCAGACGAATAAGCCGATTTGAATAGAAGACAAAATCATGTTTAGAAATGTCCCGGTCTCTAATCAGTGTTTGCATTCCTCTAATCTGAACCATAAGTATTTCATTAGACCTTTTTTTTCTAATTTTGAAATAAAAAAGAAGCTAAGACAAATTACACATTAATCTTGGAATAAGTTTTGCAAGTGGGATATCATGTCTGTCTACTGAGAAAACTATACTCCAGGGAGACGCATTCACAAGAAGTTTTGCACAAAATTTCTTATTTTAATCTTTCATTTTGTCGAACATGATAGAAACTATCCAGACATGCCAATTTTCATTACCCAGATACAATATATGTGGCACCATTCTGTCATCACAGTTAACTGATAATTGACGTAAATATTTTAGGGTGAATGGCACGTGAAGAGTCGGAGATGAACATAGTACAGATGAAAAGTTCTATGCCTTCTATTAACGAGCAATGGCAACTAATAACAGATATGAGTTACTCTACTTGATGAAACTAGTAACAACAGAAACAAGAAAGAGATAGACTATAGTACATACCTGAAATGTTGACTGGATTACATTTACATTGGGATATGTTTTGCAGAGATCATGCTGACCTAGCTTAGTGCGGGTACGTTGCACAATTACATCAATGGCAACATGATTATCACCTCCTTGAGGGATAATGACATCGGCATACTTCTTTGATGGCAGCACAAAATCATCAAATGCAGGCTTGACAAACTTTGCATACTGCACAGTATTGCATTGTACTTATCAAAATGTTTGAAAAAGCTAAGTAAAAGCAAACCTAACGTTGCATATTCATGGTAAGTACAAATCTAACCCCAGGGATCTGTACCAGGGAATCAAAAAGCGGAGCGTAACCGTAATAGCGGCCGCTATTTCGCAATAGCACCGCCGTCTGAAACCGCTAATTGAAAAAATTGCGGTGGGTGACGGAATCACAACAATAACATTTTTTCGCGGCCGCAATTTAGCATCTAACGGCAAATAACGTCAATAACGGGACGCTATTCCCGTTATCCACAAGTTTTCGCATAAAAGAAACCCACTGCCATAGCTTGCTCTCATCATCAAAATAGAGCAAATATTAAAGAGAGAAAAAAGCAAGCAACGCCAGAGAAAGTGAGTAAGCCTCTTACCAATGGCTGAGAGCTGGTCGATAAGCAAATGGGTCTTCGTTTTTATGCTCATTCATCTTCTTCACTTGCTGAATATGGTATGTATACTGTCACTTTCCTCCATTTTTTGAAGCTCTAATTTGCATTGTTTATGGATTATATTTTCTGGGTTTCTTGCTTTTGTTTGAGAATTACATGCTGCTTTTTGGACTTTCTATTTTTTTTTGAGTACTCTCTGTATGTGTTTGCTGATGAGGATTGTTGAAGTGTTGTCGTGGAGAAGAAGACAAAGACTTAGTCTAGGTCAAGGAAATGATTTGGGCTTGGGGTTCAATTTGGGTGAATATTTGGGTATTTAAATTTTTGGGTTGTTAAAGCAATGGACCGTTTATAATTTGGATTTGATGTTGTTTTTTTGGTGTATGGATCTTGTATTTTAAATTAGATTAAGAATTCAATTAAAAAATGTGGTAAACTTGTTACCGTTTATAAGTTAGAAGCATATGTTGTTACCTTAAAATGTATGATGGAAAAATGGGTCACCAAGTATAATTATTATATTTTAGGATAAATTGTGCGAATTTTAAAAAAATTCACGACCGCGACACCCGTAGTGACCGCGATTGCATACGTTATGTCCGTAACCGCGATAAACGCAACGCGACTGACAACGTGATCGCGAACGCTATTTAAATCCATAATCTATACACTTCCACGAATATTTTCTCGAAGTTCTAAATTAGAAAGCAAATTATGATATAGATGGGCTTACTTGTTCAATAACAGAATTTACATCCCTACCCCTCTCATCTGTATCTCGCCTTATTCGACGAGCAAGTCTCACATCAGCATCTACAATATGTTGCCAAATAAAATAGCGACCGCTACAACCCATCAGAGCAAGAAAGAAGAAAAACATGCTCGGAGAATTTTTTTCTTGAGTTTTTTCAAATAAATTATTATTTAAAGTTTTTTATTTTTTGAAAATTTACAAGTTGAAATGTGTTCATAATAGTTAAATTTAACTGTATGCACCTAAATATGTACAGTTGACATCGATTTTTATTGAAAAATTCTTTAAGTACCAAAAGTTAACTTAAAATATAGTTTGGACAATTATTTTTACATCAAGCTTTGTTTGGGATTGCGTCTCCAAAACAGCTTTTCTAACGCCAAAACATCGTTTTTCCAATTTTTTAGTTTGAGTCAATAATCACATTTCAAACGTGAATTTTAACTGAAAATGAGTTGTTTGAGAATGTTTTAGTATTTCAAACGGAATTTTAGACCAAAATACTTCCATAAACATCTCAAATGACCCTTCAACCTAATTATAATTATAATAAAAAATACAAATTAAAGATCATTTCACATACATTAGATGCTTTTATAACATAATGTTCCCAAGCTTTATAGTAAATAAAAATGTTCCCTAGTTTTTTCCCTTTTCAAAACAGTAAATAAAGCAGAAAATTGAATAATAATGGAGAAAACATAAGAAATATGATAAAAGAATGAGCCGTAAAAGCCCCAGAATGAGTGGAAGCTGGCATGGAAGGAAAAGTGAATAATAATGGAGAAAGTAATGGTGTAATCGGCGTTGGCACATGTGAAGGTGCTGGTTTTATCTTCATGCCCTGGTCGCAATGGCCTAACGTTCCACAAGCGAAGTAACGAGTGCCCACCTTGTTGAGTTTCACGACATTGTCTCATCCTCTAAAAATTTAAAATTATCATATATTTTATATTTTATTTATATATTTTTATTGAAATTTATTTTTATTCTCTAGAATTTTATAAGTTCGCCTCTTCTTAAAATTTTATAACTTCGTCCTCGTTAACATAAAATTCTGCATCCGCCCCTGGTTGTTTATGTTTTTGGTGCCCATTGATATTCTCAGGTTGCAGTTTTCGAACCCCTCGCTACCGAGCTCGACTACAGTGTGTAACCCTGAAGGGTACTCAAAACTGTTGCCAAAAAAATACTTATCCACCAGAGAACTTATTATGACTACAAGATACTGTAACGAATGTTGTAGCAGTTCAATGTTATGAGTATCAATGTTATATGTATCAATGGTGAACAGAGTTAATTAAAGCACGTTATGTTGAGATTGATATATGTGTAAAATAAGTCATAGAAGTTTAAACAAAGCTAAGATGGTGATCCGTTCAACAATGGGGACTTTTCCTGTAAGCAAAAATATTTTAAACAGAGAATAACATAGAAGCTGAAAGCCCGTAAACCACAATTCAGATTTTTAAACAGAAGATACCAACATATGTATATATAATACTTTTCGTAAGCCATGTATTTACTGTAATGCTTTTTACATAGCATTGAATCTGAAAATCCAATAAGTAACAATGATTCCCCAAGGCTTTGTTAAATCCAACAAAACTTTCATGTTATCTTGCGAGTACGATCTCTGGGACTCGAGTTCCAGGCTACTTCAACCTAAGTGTAGGGATATCGATGGTAATTAAGGCTTATAATTTACGTCCATTGCAGGGTTCATTTTCTTCTTCCTCTCATTAAAGCTACCGCACGAAACCAAGCTAGGAAAGCAACATTGCGTGGACCTAAGAGGTTCTCCATTCGCAGTCCTTTCACTACTGCACCGAGAGTTAGCCCGAGAGACACGAGGAGTGCCATCGGCGGATTTCGGAGGTAGTATGTCTTGGATTGTTGGTTTGACTTTTAGCTTTCCGTTGGGAGTGTCCTGGTTGATCGAGGTATTCAGCTCATTGACATCGTGATCTTCTTTAATGTTGTCACGGAATAGATCGGCTAGCTTGTTTTTCTTTCCTGGTGATATTTCCGAAGCTGAACCGGGAGATCCTTCCTCAGTGGCCTTGAAAATTCTAGGTGCCCCGGCAGAGAAGCTATTATGATGAACGGGGGTATTACCACGAGATGGAGTGAAATCTGCTCACAGATGTACAACATATGGATCAGAGAAACATGTTAACTAGAAACCAATTTCTGAAATCCAAACAAAGAACACAGAAAATGGCAATGGAGATGGCACAATGATATTCCAGCAGTAGTAAACAGAGAAGTCGATCTTTTACTCATTAAACACCCAAGGAACAAGTGTTGTATAAGCATAAAAATAAGAGTGCAGTAGGAAACCGAAGAAAAGAAATGAACAGATATGGAAATTACATATGCTTGCTTTACGAATTAATTCAAATATTTCTAACATCCTTACCACCATTGACACTGAAGAAATCGTCATCACAATCTGAATCCAGGTATGCTCGGGAGTCGAAAAAAGTTTCATCTTTACTACCTGCAAAAATGAAAAATCAATGTTGAGCATTGACATCATAGAATAAATCTAGAAATTAGATAGAACTGCATTTAGACATTGAATTCCAATCTTGAAAAAGAAGAGATTCAACACCTAGAGAAAGCAGACAAGAAAAATAAAACAAAAAATTTGAGAAACGCAGTATCCAAGTCCTCCAAACGACCTCAATTTGGTAGTAAAAACATACCAGCAGTTCATTTCTACATAAATGAACTTCACATTCCCACTGTCAAGATGATCAAAATCGACAGCGACGGTACATGATATAAGAGACAACCAGACACACACAGAGAAAAACGATTCGCGGACAGAAGAATGTCATCCCTATGATATTTTACTGGCATTAACATCAATATCAGTAGTCCTGTGATACACAAGCCAACTGTATTGAATTGGACATATAGTAAGGGACCACAACAACATAAACGGAAATTGTTTGCGTTCTGAAGAATGTCATCACTACGATATTTAAGTGACATTAACATCAATACCAGTAGCACTGTGATACATAGCCAGCCAACATCGTTGAATTGAACACAAATTCTACATATAGGTATAGTAAGGACCACAACAACATAAACACAAAAATGTCTATCTTGTGAGTTTTGTTACACCCATAAGAAAAGCTTGCTTAAAACCATTTGCCCTTCCTTAAACAGTGGTCCATCCATTGACCAGCTTTTCATCAAGGGCAGCTAAATCTACCACATGATGCACTGCTGAAAATATGGAAAAATGAACAGAAAATGGGCCCTCTGAAAGATGAATACCTTAAAGAATCAGACAAATTGTCAAGAACTGAACTCTAATCCTAAATAAATTAATTAGAAAACAAATTAGAAGTAAAACTACTACCATTGAGGGGGAGGAGGGAAGTCAAAGAAAGGATCTAAGTAATCTGAGAAAGAGAAGGAAATCCTAAAACTTAAGCTAAGAAAAACCGGAAATTTGAACAAAGGAAAAAAAAAATGAAAAGGCACCATATTTATCTCATAATCAACAAAGTCAAAAAACCAATTTCATTAGGCACACATCCATGGCAGACATTGATACAAAAATAAGTAGATCACTTGAAAGCAAGATCAATATACTGATAGGAAAAAAACTTTGATAAACTTTGCATCGAGTTAACATCTCATATCGTCAAAGCAAAGCATCATCTACAAATAGAAATAGAAGGAAACGCCATTGAAGATTGGAAAAAAAAAAAACAAAAACAACAAAGATTCCCTTTGCCTCATAACCAAGGAAACTATCCTCAACTTTTCAAAAAAAAAAGGAAACTAGCTTCAAAAATGGTTTTATATCAAACTATCAGGGAATCAATCTACATAAAATTTTGAAAGTAAAGAAAGATTGGGATTTGGGAGTGGAATCACCATTGGCAGCATCGGGTTTCTCCTTAGCAGACGAAGGTGGGAAGATGAGATTGTCTGTTTTAGACCCAAAAGAGAGTCCAACTTTTATGGCTGACTCTTGAGAGCTCTTATGCAGCGATGCACATGAACCCATCTCTTTAGTTTTTCTTTCTTTTTTTGGGGGGGGGATATCTCCAACTCTTTAGAACCTCAACATCAGCTTATGAGAAAAACAGAGAGAAGCAGAGAAAATATAAAAATACTTTTCTTCCTTTTCAAGGGTATGGAGACTGCAACACCCAAAGGCATAAATGGGAGAGGGAGAGGGAGAGGGAGAGGGAGAGGGAGAGAGAATATAGCGTTTTATTTGCGTTACGCTAAACGAGTAGAAAATAGGAACGCCCCTCCTGAACACAACAATCACCATAAGCAAAGCAATGCAAGGAAGGTGTTGCTTTTTAACCAATTATTAAAATATAAATGATGTCTTGATTATTTATATTTTAAATTATTTTTATTTTAAAAAAATTAACGATCATCTAATTTAGCTGTTGATCAATTGATTGAAATATATTATTCGATAGGGATGGAAGTATGACCCGAACCTGACGGGGAAACCCGAAACCCGGTCAAGTTCGGGTCGGGTCGGGTTGAATGATATCGGGTTTAGGAATTTTTTTTGAGGATTTTTTTGGGTCGGGTTCGGGGAAAGGTATCCCCGCCCCGCCTCGCCCCGATTATATATATATATATATATATATATATAATATTTTATATATTTTATATTAATTATATATAAAATATTTTTGGGTTCGGGTTCGGGGACGGGGCAAAAAAAATCCCCGACGGGGCGCCCCGATAAAAAACTCGTCGGGGATTGGGTCGGGGTCGGGGATGGGGATTTATTTCAGGTTCGGGGACGGGGAGAGCAAAACCCGCACCGAACTCGACTCGTTGCCATTCCTATCATTCGAGTATTCATATATTTTAAATTCATCTTTTTTGTTAAAAAATTAACTATAGTCTGATTGTGACGTTAATTTGCTGATTAAGATATGATAAAAATCAATTTTTTAATGATGTTTACTGGAACCACAGTTGCTTTCAAGCACTGACTCAATCGTATAATATTTCAAGCATTGATTCGATTACATAAAATAAACAAAGAATCGATTCATAAAATATACCTCAAACGATTTTTGGAATAAGATATTTTATATCTCAATCAATAAGTTTATGAGTAGTTCCATCCGTCAAATTTTTAACAAAAAATGGCGAATTTGAAATATATGAATAATTAAGTAACTATTTTGTAACTTTTAATAGTCAATGGTAAGACTATAAACGAGCCGAGTAGAGCTGGAGTATTGTTGAGCTCGACTAGAACTCGAAAAGTTTGAATTAGGCTCGACTTGACTCGAAAACTCGCGACCTAAAAATTATCAAGCTTAGCTCGAACTCAAAATATAATATTAAAACTCGACTCAAACTCGAAAAGGCTCGAACTCAAAAAAATTCAGGAGCTCGATTGAAGCTCGAGACTCGACTCGATTGAAGCTCGATTCAAGCTTGAACTCGATTTAAGCTCGAACTCAAACTCGAATTTGAACCTAAAAAAATCTTATATTACATTTAAAAATATATTTTTAAAAATTTATAATTATCAATAATGTATTTTTAATATATTTTTAATAATGTAATTTTAAAAAATATAAAATTATAATATAACATTTTTTTCAAGTAGCTAACGAGTTTTTCGAGTCGAGTATTAAGTAGCTCATTTTAGCTCGTTAAGAATTCGAGCTCGAATTCATTCGATTTGAGTATTTATCGAGCTTTGACCGAGCCGATCTCGAGTAGCTCGCGATCGATCTCGTCTCATTTACAGTCTTAGTCGAGGGACTCAACAAAATAACGGATATATATATATAAGATAATTAAATTGGTTTTTTTTTTTTAAGATAACATCATATTCAATAGCAAAAGTCAATCCAGCACAAACCAAAAAACCATATATTACCAGACAAAAGCTCAAAACAGCAAACCAGCTACAACCCACAATCTGCAGCAAGGGAAGGTACGATGAAAGGAGGAGCAGATTGCGACCAGGTTTCAGTCAGCCGGTTCGTAGAACCTTCCCTTGCTAAGGCGTGAGCAATATCATTACCCTCCCGACCAATGTGCAGAAAACAACAGCTGTGGAACATCCTAGCGAGAGAGTGAATATCCGCCAGAATTGGCCCACTGTAGGAAGGGTCCCTTGATCTGGAAGGAGCACGACGGATCCCAAAACAAAAGGATCCATGGCATGGGAGATGAAGCTTGAACGCCCAAAGATAAACTGCCCAGCATGGTTACGGACCACCACACCAACTCCACCAAACAGTGCATGCCGATTGAAAGCCCCATCAAAGTTGATTTTAATGACCCCCGGAGAAGGCGGCCGCCAAGATCGAGAGACTGGTGCTAGAACCCGATTTAGTGGAGATGGCAAAGTAGATAGCGAGGAACAATACCGTTGGACAAACCAGAACACATCCGGGGCAGTGGGACCACACCAGTGTGCAGGTGAATATTGCGAGCATAGTACTAAATTGCTGCCGCAAAGTAGCGTAACATTCGCATCGTAACGTGTTTTTGAGATTATCGCGACGTAATATCGACACAACACGATAAGAAAATCGTATCACGATTGTTGCAGTAAAAAATCGTTACGTAATACCGCAACACGCTATAAATTACATTGCAATGCCGTAACAAACTTTAAATTATCTGAAATATAAAATTACATAGATGAATTGTTCTAATTTAATTCTTAAAACCGGATTATAAATATATATCATTAATAATATCGTAATAGTTATGTTTAAAATTAGTTACTTAAATTTGAATTAATTAAATTATTTATTAAAGTTATTTTAAAAATAAATTAATTTAAATTTAAATTGAATTTTTCTCATATCTAAAATTGACGTGATTAATTTTAAATTAAATTTTTATATTAACATTAAGTATTATAATTATATGTTTATTTATTATTATATTGAAAAATAATTGATTGACGATGGAGTAAAAACTTCATAATGATTTACATTCTACTGGTACGCTATAAAACTTTTTAACTTAAATTGTGATATCTTGTTTAGACATTTATTATGTTATTTTTTATGTAGGATATTTTCTAAATCCACAATTTCTATACATAGACAATTTTACAAGTGAAGTGATTCGTGAAAATATGAATAGAGTTAGAAATGTCATACAGAGGATAAAATCCAACTTGAATCATCAAATTCTTGCAATGAACCATGTATGTATTTTATATAATTAAATTATTTGAAAAAAACTCATAAATTATCCTGTTTAAACTACTAATTCATTTATTTTCTAGTTATTGCTATATCGAGACAAAATGGATTCTTTTGGAACACCATTAGCTCAAGCTGTAATTTTGAAGACTAACATTGATAAACAAAAAAAAATTATCATTAACTATGAAAATTGTGCACCGCAACCTCAACGCATTATTGTCAAAGTTTTGAGTCAAACAATTTCATCTTCAAATTGTGAGCGTAATTGGAGTACTTTTAGTTTGATCCATACAAAGAAGAGAAATAGACTCAAGCATAAAAAGCTTCAAAAATTGGTTTATGTCCATTATTATATGAGGTTGAAGCTAAGACACATGCAAAGAAAAAGTGCACAAGAATTAGAAATGGATTTTAATCCAATTAATATTGAAAATATTTTTGAAGAAGATGACCTACTGAATGCATGGATTGAAGAAAGAGAAAATGCTACACTTGATAAGGAACAAAATTTCTCATGGTTGTTTGAGGAGTTAATAAAACTGAGGAAGAAACTCAAGGTGAAGATATGAACATTTAACCTACTCCATCTAATGAGGAAAATGTTCAATTATCGACGTCAAGTTATGATGTTGATGATGACGACGATGATGATGGTGGTTGTGACAATCATGGTGATATGAACAACTAAATTGCACTATAAAGTAAAATAGTGCAATTTAGTTGTTAAATTGAAATTTTGGGAAATTGGGAGTCAAAAAGAAAAATTGAGAGATGATATTTTTATGATTATGTAATAATATTCAAATAGAGATGAAGGAGTGACATGGGTGTAATTTTGGAAATTCATTAAGGGTAATTTTGGTTTTTAGTCCAAATAAATAAATAAAATTCATTTTTATTATAATCTAAAGGTAAGTGGGAGATTTTTTCTGAAGAAAACTCACGAAAGATTCCTTCCTTCTTCAGTTATTGCCAAACTCCATAATAGGTAAGTGATTTTTTTTTCATTTTTGATCCAATTTAATGAGTTTTGGGACTAAGATGTGAAATAAGAAAATTGCCTACACTAAATTCTCTACAAATTGATATAAGTATTGCTTTGTTTCATATTGAAATGTGAAAATGGGTATTTATGGTAGATGAAGGGGAAGTTGATTTTGATTGAGTTAAGGTTAAATTTGGATGTTATGAGTGTTGTGGAGTTATAATTAAGCATGTAAGTCGACTAAATATTGGTTGGAATGATGGGTTTAGCGATTTGGCTAGTGATGAATTTGTTAGGAACTTGGTTGAATTTGATTTGTTTTGCTTTAAATTTGATTAGAATGGATTGGAAATGGTGTGTTGAGGATGAAATTGTGATTGAATCAAAATGGGAGCCATTAGGGGATATATTACAAAGTTTCGGCCGAAGGAGAAATTAAAGGATAAATTTTGTAAAAATTTTATAATGGTCTAGATTAAGTGTAAGAATGATTTTAGATGCTTGAAATGATGTTTGGAAACTAAATTGGATCTCTGTTAAACCTTAAGGGACCTTTTCGCATAGTAGGGCAATTTAAAGGGGTAATGTGAACATGTTGATAAATTAATGTTCTATGCTGAAATTTAGTATTAGCACATTGAATTGGACTGATTTGGAAGAGTTTATAAGTTTAGTAATTCAATTGTAAGTTGAAGGAAGTTTGGTGGTGAGATGATGAAGTGGTTAGGGACATTTTACAAAGTTTGGAAAATTTAAAGGACTAAGATGCAAGTTTTGGAAAGTTGGGATACAATGCTGGAAATTATAGTTAGAATGTTAGAATATTGAATTTGGATCGATGTAGAAAGTTTCACAAGATTAAGAAAGAGAAATTAGTTTCGATATATATATATATATATATATATATATATATATGTATGTATATCGCTTGCTTTTTTAGGAAATTGTTTGAATATATATGATTATTATATTAGTTAAAGTACTAATGTATGTGAATTGTTTATATGCTGGAAATCGA